GCCTTTCAAAACAAAAACTCAGCCCCATCATTTCACACGTTCCATCTTGCTGTAACTTTTATCTTGTTTGTTATTCCCGCTCGAAGAAATGGAAACACAAGTGTCAGAGATTATGCTTTTTTCCCAAGCCACTCCAATCTCCTTATAAACATACCAGACAAAAGCAACAACTTTTTGTCTCAGGTGTTATGTCTTATCCTACGTTGTTGCAAAAAAGTGACAATAGTATTGTAAACGTACAAAGATAAAATTATCAACAACTTCCCCTTGAGGGCAATACACTTTCGCACACACCATGACTGTGTCTTATAGATATTAATACACGAAACAAAAACATGCTAGGCAAAGGGCGATGCGGTTTGATACCTACAAACCATGCTATGTCTTAATATTTGACAAAGGCAGTTCGTGTGACTTGCCATGTGTGAACACCGACACATATGAAAATAATGCCGTTGTTGTTAAAGAACGTGAGGTTAGATGTGTGTTAGGACGTGTGAATGTGAGAAAGGCGTGTGGCCCAGACGGTGTGCCCCATCCCCCACCAAATTCTTAAAAATGTGTTCAACACAACTTAGTTCTATCTACGCCTACATTATCAACAGTCTTTGCTGACACCTGCTTTCCCCACTGTTTGGAAATGTGAAATCGCCCACTTCCAAAGAAAGAAAATTACAGAAATGAATGACCTAAGACCAACAGCCTTAATTTCCGTAGTTATAAAATGTCTTGAAAAAAAGACTACGAACATAAATAGAACCCACCCAGGACCCTCTACAATTCGCACATCGTCAATGGAGAAATGTGGAAGACGCTATTCTACTATTTCATGACAGCATGTTATTATATAGACACGTAGACAAGCCAAAAACATACTGTTTGTTGATTTTTATTCATCCTTTAATACTATCCAGCCAGTTGTCTTTCCAAAGAAATTAGAAAACATAAGTGTTAACGTCAATTTAATATCACGGATAGGGAGTTTTCTTACCAACCGAACCCAATATGTAAAATTAAACAGTAACATCCAAGTTGATCAAATTTGGGGATGGTTCTACCATAATTGAGCTCATTCGGGCTGACCAAAACGAAACTGCTTACCGGAATTTTGTACTTAACTTTTCCGAATGGTGAGACAGTCATAAGATGCTTTTAAATGGGAAAAAAGAAACTGCCCCCGCAGCCACTTGAAATTAATGGTGTAAACGTCGAGCAAGTGTTAGATTATAAGTATTCGGGTGTTACAAAAGACATCAAACTCAATTGGCGTGTCCACACTTCTCTCCTGCATAAAAAAGTGAACAAAAGACTATTTTTTCTAAGAAATCCCAAGTATTTTAAAGTTGATAAAACATTGATGTCCGTATTCAATCAATCAACCATAAAAAGTGGGATAAATTTCTGTATAACAGCATGGGCCGGGAACTATATAATAAAGAAAAATTAAAACGATTAATACAGAAAGCATGCAATATTTCAACATCTACCTTCCCCTACTTGGATGAATTGTACAATACAGCTTGCACGGAAAAAAATTGTGCCATCTTTTTGAACAATAAACATCCCTTGTTCCCTCAAATAAAAACACCAGTCGGAAGTAAAAGACCTAGGCTTCTTATCTGTAACAAAAAAAGATACAGAAGGTCATTTTTATCATCAGCCATCAAAGTTCTTCCATCTTAACCATCTCGTTACAAATATTCATGTGACTTTAGAGCATGCGTCAGAAGAACATTGAGTTACACTCAGAACACTGAGCATGTATCAAGCTTAAGAATGATTATTATTTATATTACTCTTCATTTATAATATGCATGTGGCTGTTAGCCTGCGTGTGTGTATGTTAGTGTGTGTGTGGGGGACCTTGTGCTGCCAGACGTCCCCCATGACTTGGTCAAGCTGGCCGGCCGCAAGCAGTTCAGAGGTGTGTGTATGTTTGTGTGTGTGTGTGTGTGTGTGGGTATGTGTGTGCGCATGCGTGCGTGTGTGTGTGTGTGTATGTGTGTATGTGCCAGGACCTGGACAATAAAGATGTAAAAAAACAAAAATACTCTAAGTAAATATTACTCTTTAGTTTTTTTTAAGTGCCAAAGATTAGAGGTGCTGCAAGAATTAATTGTTATACTAAGTAAGCACGTAATACACCATTGGGCACTATCATAATATGCTCTTTTTCCTACTAATCAGATGACGTCAATCTCATATAAATGGGCAAGGGGAAAATTCAAAGAGGTGTTGCAAGAGAGTAATAAACACAAAAAAGAAATAAGGGAGAAAAGGACGATGGATGTTTGATAGAGCAAGAAGGAGCAAACCACACCAGAGTACCCGCCAACCACCCACAATGAATCCACAATGAATGATATTACAATTATTACTCTTCAGGTGTGGCTGTGTGGCGGGAGTCTAAAACACCTGCCCTGTTCGAGGATCGGTCACGTGGCGCGTGCACAGCCGTACAGTTTCCCAGGGGGCCGGGCGCACATCGAAAATTTTAACTACAAGCGGGCTGTGGACGTCTGGCTAGGGGACTACGCCAAATATGTTTATTACATACGACCGGACATGAAGGTACTCACTGAATCTGGCCAAATATATTTATCATAAACGACCAGACATGAAAGTACTCATTGAATCTAGCCAAATATGTTTATTACATACGAACTGACATGAAGGTACTCACTGAATTTGGCCAAATATGTTTATTACGTACGAACTGACATGAAGGTACTCACTGAATTTGGCCAAATATGTTTATTACTTACGAACTGACATGAAGGTACTCACTAAATTTGGCCAAATATGTTTATTACTTACGAACTGACATAAGGTACTCACTGAATCTGGCCAAATATGTTTATTAAATACGACCTGACATGAATGTACTAATTGAATCTGGAAAAAATATTTTTCACTAAATACGACCTGGCATGAAGGTACTCATTGAATCTGGCCAAATATGATTATTAAATACGACCAAACATGAAGGTACTCATTGAATCTGGCCAGTTATGTTTATTAAATACGACCAGGCATGAAGTTACGTAACGATCCTGGATAAGGAACATCCCTGAAAATAGGGCAATATTTTTGTTTACAACCATTATTATGCATCATCGTTGTTTCCAATAACTCAAAAGCAGAGGAAACGCAGGAGTATTGGGGAGAGGGGAAGAAAGAGAAAGGGTGAAGAAGGAGAGAGTTAAAGAAGGAGATGAATATAGAATTGTGTTGAGGGAAAGAAGAGATTGCTAGAACATGATATACAGAGGAAAAGTACAAAGAAGAGAGGAAAAGGAAAAAAATAAGGGGGGGGGGAGGGGTGCTATAGTAGGAGTAAATGATCGGGTATAGCTGATTGAGTGTTCATATGAAACGAACATAGTTCAGTTTCTGTAACAATATCCTAGAAAATATACTGTATCTATTTTCATCGCTTTCTAAAATTTCGTATATTCAGCGCATTCAGTATTCGATTTATAGAGTTTTTAACCAATTGTTTATCAGGTGTACATGAATCAAACTTTTCAGTGAATTGATTTTCAATATATTGACTCAGTCTAACAAAGTTCTGATTGTCTTACACTGTTCGTTTTTATTTATTCTATATCATATTTCCTCCTTTTTAAAGGGGGGATGGGGTAGGGATGTAAAACCAACCGTTGGCCCCTAATATAACTCAATGTCAAGAAAAGCTACTTAGTCAAGCTTTTTGAGTCCTGTTGTCTGTAGGTCTCGTTGGGAACGTGATATTATGTAATAATTCACTCCAACAGAATGAACTTAAACTTTGGGTATACTTTAGGCACACTCAATATGTCTATTTTTCAATTATTTTTTTTAAAGGGGGAAAAAGACAACAGCAAAAACCTAATCGTTATGATTTTTCTTCAAAACAGACGATGGATGTTGGAGATCTCAGCAGCCGGTTGGAGCTAAAAAAGAGGCTGAAGTGTAAAGACTTTTCTTGGTATTTAGAGAACGTGTGGCCTGAACTGAACAAATATGATGAGCATGCAACAATTTGGGGAGCGGTAAGTCCAAAACTTTTGTGAATGTTTGTGATGTCAATGGTATTATTTGACCATCGTTTTCTTTTGCGTTGTCTACAAATATTCACCTGTATTGGCAAATAAATATTAATCTTCTTCAAAAAAACCTGTTAAGTCATGTTTCACAACTTGTTTTTTCACTTTTATTTATCTAGATTTTTTTTTAAATCAGTTTTTTTTTTCAGAAGGGCGTTGTCAATTCTGGAAAAGACGAACACAGTTTAAAGATTAGTACTGGGTCTTATGTCACGTGGTGAATACACGGTTTCTTCACAGATTGTTAATGAAAAGCGCAACTGTTCTTTTTTAAATCATCCACAATGAGAAATGCAAAAGAATACTACTTACAAACATTATCACTCAGCAGTGGAGACGTTTTTAGATACTTTGAGATTCTATTTCCTTATTTCCTTCGAATACTGGTGAACAAACAATATGAAAAAGGACAGGAAGGGTAGAGGGAGGTCACCGATGTTGGCGAATAGATGCTTAAGTTTGCGGTCGGTAAATTTAAAAGCAACCAGTGGGAAGTTGTACAAGTAGATTTTATATCGTTATATATGGGTTTAGGGACACAAAATGTTTCGTATGTGCATGGATAGAACCATAAATCTTGGATTGAGAGAACACTGGGAGAGGAAGAGATAGACGACGTAGGGTGGTGG